AAGACAGGACAGTATTCTGTATAATACAAGTAGCCTCGAATAATATTATTAAAGCTACTTAAAATTACTTGCTTGCTTCATCTGATTTAAGGAAATCTCTCTATGAATTTAAGTGGGTTTTTTGTTTGTTTTATTTGCAAGGCTATATAGCTCAAGATGGGAGCAGAACACTTGTTTTTCTCTCCATACATTTATGGATGCATTTGTTGAGAAGAGAGACTTAAGATTTTATGTTACAGGCAAAATCTTCTGGAGAACATTATGGTTTTATAGGGATTGTTTGCTTTCTGACATTCATATATTTTATAGGCAAAAGAGGTGATTATGACAATATAGTCTGGCTTTTCTTGTCATACATGCCATGAATGTTACTGATTATTCTTGTCTTGAGCTACAAATCTTTTGAACTGTATTGTACATCTTTCAAAAAGCCATACAATCGTTACTTAATGTTTTACCTTTTGATAGATGACCTACCATTCCCCTTGTTACATTGTACATTCCCCATGTTACATTCCCCTTATTACATCTGGGAGGTGAAGTTTAGATACATTTGCAGCTAAAAAACTTGAGATTGCATGATGAAGCTTGTATCATAAAATTTTACATGATCGGGTGAGTTTTGTATCTCACCTTGTGCACGTCCTGCCTTCTCAGTCGCCAACTGCAGTCCTAGTCTTGCATTATGTGTCATTCCTTGCATGGGATTTCCTATGCTTGATTTAAAGAAAAAAAGCAATTACACAAAAATTAAAAGGTTACCTTTTCCTTCAGTTACAAACCTTCATTAGTGTAAGCTGCCTGGATACCTACCGTCAGAAGGCCCTTGAACACATTTGGTATGCCATGTGTTATATGCTGTTCAGTAATGTCAGGAGATTATTCCTGTCTTGCAGTTGAAATCCCATAACCAGCTCAGATTCTGCCTAAAGCCTTTTGGGGGAACAGACAGATTGTGTACACATGGGGATGAATTTACTGTCCAATTGTCTTGTTGAAGTCATAGTCCTGCCAACTTCTACCTGAAGGACCAGCAAAAGTTGGTGGCCCAGATACTTGTGAAATGGGATTGCAGATATCTCCAAATTACTGTTGAATGATCAAGCGGTGGTACATGTGTGTGTGTATTCGTCAGTGCTTCCCATTTGGGAGGAAATCAGTGTATGGTGGGGGTGATTGGGGTTTTTCCATCTCACCTTTCATGGAAAGGGAGTCTTCACAGCTGCTCATATTCTTTTACTGCAGATAAGTCAAGCATTGGTGTTAGAAGCAGCACTTTTGGAGAGGGGAGATGCAATTCAGAGTGCTCCCTGGGAAATTCTTTCAGTTGCTGATGTTATAAGCACAAAATGTGAACTGCTGTCAAAACTGTGGGCTGATGTGCTGAACAGAATACACGTGAAAGATGTCTCACCGAGGCAAAGATCAACCAAGGCTCACACAGAATTGGTTTCACAGTTGTAATATGACACGTTTTAAATTGAATGAATTCTGGTTTCACTGTAGCTTGTTAAAACTTACACCATCTCATGGTCCTCCAAATCTCTTAATATCTCCTATCAGTATTCTTATTCCATAGCTAGAATAGTTTCAGTATGCCAGGTGAAACATTCTTTACTTGAAAATGCTGATCAAGCTATCTTAAAAACCTAGAAGTATACATGTAAATCTTGAACTATATCTGAAACAGTCTAATTCAATTAGTTAAAATGGATTTTGTCCCATGACACATATAACCTGATTCGTCTCATTTAGTGCTGTTTAAAGGAGAAGTTTGCCTTCAGTCCATACTGTAAAAACTTGGTAAATGAGAAACAGCATCCCGTATGAATATAAAAATATCTTTACAGTGCCAGTCTTTTCTTTGTGAAGGATCAAGTAGTATTTGTTTTCTTCAAATAATGTGTGCATACTAGTTTTAGAAAGAACAAAAAGAGCACAAATTAGATGCAAAATCCCCAGCAGGTACTGGGGATGTAATACTTTGACTTCAAAGATTTGACCTGATGGGTGACCTTGCTGCATGGTTGTAGGATATCTGAGGTATTTCCATGTGTAGCATTTAAAGACTATACTTAACAGGCTGTGGAGTATTATGAAGGACATTTATTGGGATCCTGGGGCTGGGGAAAGTTTGAGTACCTCAAATTGTGAACGCAGTTAAAAAGCTCAACTCTTCAGAGGCCACAAACAAAGCAGATACTTGATGGGCAGCTCTCTGTTGGGTGTGGCAACATATCAATGCTAATGTAATACACAATACAACAGGGAAAGGGAGAAAGGACTGAGACTCAGTACTTGCTTTGTTACCCAAGCTGCAGACTTACATGACCTCAGGCTGTGCTGGGGACAGAGGGATCTCATTGCCCAACCTAGCAGCAGGATAATACTTTGATGCATTGTTGTTCCAAATGTGCCACCTACTTCCTCATTTTCTCTGCTTTTACATTTCTGTACTGAAAAGCGTTCCCAGGGTTTAGCGCTTTGAAGGAGACAAGTTATTTGTATGATCTGCTCCGTCTTCGACATGTTTTCCACCTGACCGTCAGCCACAACCCCTGGGAGGTCCTTCCAGCTGTCATTACGGTTGATTTCTGAGTGATCTTGTAACTCGCTCTGAGCGCCACAAGCAGAGCCATGGGGGCCACGGCCACCTCCTGTGGGAACACGGCCCGGGAGCGGGGCGGGACGGGAGGGGGCGAGATGGGATGGGACAGAGCCGGTCCGGGAGGGAGCTTCCCCCCGTCAGCCTCTTCGACCCCTCCCGTGTCTGTCACCTCTCGCCTCTGACGCAGGGTGGCTGTGGTGTCTTTGCCGGTACGCGGCGGCATTGCACCCTGGCACCGCTTGTCTCCTCAATGAACGCGCGCCGGCCCCGCTTCAGGCTTTGGGAGCCAGCGATAACCCCTCGCTGGCATGGGAGGCACTCACCGTCAGCGGGCTGCTGTACTGCGGGACTGCGGACACGCAAGGTAACAGCATAGATGCTACAGGTGTTAATTGCTACTACATCTTCCGTGATCACAGGTAGATGCAGGCAAGTGTGGCATGCCCCTCTGGTACTGTTTGCCCAGAGGAGCCTGCCGTTGCTGTCTTTGGAGCTGTGTTTTGCTTCCAGAATTTGTTCAAAATTTGCACACGAGTGCTGCTATTTCGTTATGTATTTGTAGTATCTTACTGCTGAAGGAACTGCAGTTAGGGACTGAAGGGCAGGCATGATGTGACCCCTTGCCTTTCTACCATACCTGACACAGCAGACACGAGACGTGAATTGTGAACACTCAACAGCTTCTAGCTGCAAAAGTATGTCAGCTGTCTACTAGACAGTAGATACCTGAGAATATTGGCAGTTATGGAGGTGTAACTGAAAAGGTTGTTCCTCTGGTCTGCATAAATTCTTCTCTAAAGTCTTTCCCTGCTGAGTTTCTCAAGCCTAAATTCAATATCATTATTAAATAATCATCAGCATTTTACTCTCCATTCTTGGTTGTCTGAGTTCCAGCTACTGTCAGGAACCATCAAGATCAGGGAAGGCCAGAAAAGAGCGTTTGGGGATGAAATAGTCAAGAATATTAAAGATAAATCCATGTTGATTATAACTGCTTGTTCAAATGGCTCATTCAGGATCTGAATGCAAAGTTTTGTTCTATGCACAGCCATCAGTACCCCCCTGCTGCTAGGAAAATGTGATTTCCATAAAATATCTGACAGCTTTCACATGTTTATTTTCTAGGGAGTTTGTCGTCATTACTGTAAAACCCAAGCCCTATGTCAGCATGTGGAATGGGAAAAAGACTTATTGCTACACCATGTTCAGCCCTTGGGCTGAAATGCTATTTGGACCAGAATTCTGACTTACTTTTACCAGGAAAACCTTTTCTTTAGGAGTTTCTACTAAAATCAGTGAGGCCATTACAGGTATAAAAGGGCATTCAAAATTAATAAAACTGCTAGGAGCTAGATCTTATGGGACACATGTGAAAGCCCGTAGAAATAATTAAGAAGTGTGATGTGAACACAGAAGTCTGCCATGGGCCCTACAGTTACATGAACTGATCAACATCAAGGCCACTCTTCAGTGTTAAGCAGTATTCTGCAAGTAGGTATGTATAAATGGGGGGAAACATTTTCTTTACGTAAAAGTATACTTTATTGATAGTACATAGATGTATTTGTACCAAGGTTTAACAAATTGAATCTCACTTTCAACTATGTTTCAGTTTCTGTAAAGCTTTCCACAGTGTCCCACATGACACCCTTATATCCAAATTGGAGAGACTGGGTTTGAAGGGGGGCCTATTTGGTGGATAAGGAATTGGCTGGATGGACGCAGCCAGAGAGTTGTGGTCACTGGCTCTTATGTCTCGGGGGAGGCCAGTGACAAATGGTGTCCCTCAGGGCTCTGTCTTGGGACGGGTGCTCTTCAATACATACATCAATGACACAGACAGTGAGACTTAGTGCACCCTCAGTGAGTTTGCAAATGACATTAAGCTGAGCAATGTGGTTGACATGACTGAAGGATGGGATGCCATTCAGGAGAACCTGGACAAACTTGAGAAGTGGGCCCACGAGAACCTCATGAAGACAGTCTGAGAGAGTTATGGTTGTTCAGTCTGGAGAAAAGAAGGCTTCAGGGAGACTTCATTGTGGCCTTCCAGGACTTAAAAAGGGCTTATAAAAAAGAGGAAGAATTGCTTTATACATGGGCAAATAGTGATAGGACAAGGGGGAATGGTTTTAAAGTAAAAGAGGACACATTTAGATGAGATGTTAGGAATAAGCTTTTTACTCAAGAGGGTGATGAGGCACTGGAATAGGTTGCCTAGAGAAGTCGTGGATGCCCCATCCCTGGAACTCTTCAAGGCCAGATTGGATGGGGACCTTAGCAACCTGATCTAGTTGAAGGTGTCCCTGCCCATGGCAGGGGGATTGTAATGAAATGATCGTTAAGGTCCCTTCCAGCGCAAGCCTTTCTATGATTCTATGTATATATCTAAACTGTGTGAATCAGCCATAATATAGTCTGTCACAGTGTAATGTGCAAGGACATTTATTTATCTATATGCTAGAGTACTCCTTTTTATCAGGTGCATTAACCCACATACACACATAATGCTTTATTTAGTATTTCATCTGCATTGGTCAACTGTGTCAAATAGCTGCCAAAGGATTTCAAAACCACTTTCCCATTAAAATTATTGTAAATGTGGTAATTCATAAGTTCTATTTTTGTATCTTTATAAGCAACATGCTGAAGACTACTTGTCAAGGGATTACAACTCAGCAACTATTTTCTGGCATAATCCTACATTTGAGAATTTTTAAGTAGCTTTGTACTTTATTGGAGTCTCTCCTGAAACAGTGGATGAAGTCAGAGTCACTCATCATGTTTGCTTCATTACTAATTGATAAACCAGTGCCTTCAGATGATGCCATTCCATTTAATGAGTTGCTGATGATCCCCATTGACTGCATCTGTATTGAAATCAGGAAAAGAAGTACAGTTTGTAACTACACATACAACAAATCTTGAAAATGCTAGTGCAGAAGTGAACTGAGGCATCACTATGTTGGGATGTGCTACTCCGGATCTTTCATATACTTATTGAAGATATATGTAAAGCTCCTTACATAGAAAAACTTTTTTATCCTTATGGTATCTATACAACCTTTAGACTAGACTGAAATGATTTGATATACTAGTAATGAATACTGGGGTGTAGCTCCATCTGAGTTTAAGTAGAGGAACCCCTGGTTGGTGATCATTATTTCCTCTTGAAGAATTATAGCAAATCTGTCTTGAGATTTTTTTAGCCATTTATTTGAATGAGCTTTGTGAAGGGAAGCTTCTAATGTGAGCATCCACCAGTGCTGCTTAACCTGGTGAACTGTGCAGACTGTGATCACCTCTCAGAGTAGGAGCTTCACAACAGAAGCAAGTTTAGAATTTTTCTGTCTTACAGAAAAACACAGCTGCAAAATATGGAATGCATTTGCATTGTTCGCTTCATTTTTGTAATTATATTCCTAACCTGTGGTATGTCCATAGTAAAGAGAGGTCAATACTTCAAAGCTTTCCTTCTTAGGAAGTCCTTCAAAGGTGTTTTAGATAAAATAAAGCAAGTAAATATAAAAAAAGTGTGTAGCTAATTTAGAGTTTGATGGCTTGCTTCAGCTACAGAATGAAGCAAAGGTCAGGCTTTGAGGTTGAACACTTCTGAACTTTAAGGTCATTTTAACCCAAAACCATGGCTGCATTTGGAAAATAGAGTTTCTACTTGTAGCTCTCAGTCACCCTAATCAGGGCTGCATTTTAGAGCAGGGTACAATTCAGCCTATCCTAGTAATAAGCTACTTACCACTTTAAAACTTGTATTGCCCACCTGTGTTCATAAAGCTGATAGGTGATCTACTAGTGTAAGATTATATAAATTATATAATTATAATTATAATGGCCCATCTTCGCGAACGAAGATTTGGGGAAAGGTCTTTTTACCTTTCCAGCCTGCGCAATGGATTTTTTAGGTGAGACACAGCCTGCGCTGAACTGAGCCCACCCTTTAATCCTAAGGTTCATCTGCCGGGGCCAAGCAAGCTTGGACAATGGCAGTGAGGTCCTCAGGACGTAGGTTTGTTTAGAGTGTCCTTCTCATAGATGGATGGCCACACAGGGCTAACGACCTCCATCAGGCCAGGAGACCGGGGACTAGAACCCGTGGTCGCAGCAGTGAAAGTCCTGCACGCTAACCACTAGGCCACCAGGGGTCTCACTAGTGTAAGATACTAGTTTATTAATCACTTTTTGTGGTGAAATGAGCACCTTGGCAGTGTGGCCATTGCAGAGAATGGGCACACAGCCTTCATTGGTTGAGCCAAAACTACAAATAAGTTTAGATACGAATGCACAAGAAATGCAAAGGTCAGGACTTCTAGCTAGTAATGAGAAGACAGAAATGGAAATAACAAAAATACATCCTATAGTTTATATATGATCTGCCAGAATTTGGAATTGAGTTTTGAAATTGTTTTGTGATTGGCACTGGACTTAAGCAATGTCACTGTTGTCTTGGAGAATTTATCCCAGCATAAAATTATTGCCTTAGGAAAGAGCTCTTTTCAGCAGACAGCAGTGATAGTGGAATTACTTAGAATGTAAATCCAAATAAAACTGAAAACAATTAAGCATTTATCATGGCCTACCCACATCTCCTCTACTACCCTAGAAAAGTAAAGTGGCTCATATGTGAAGCTGTAGAAGGCTGTAGTCTTTGTACTTGTGTCTTTTTTTCATATATTTAATATTAATAAAATATTGCTTGTCAGATATGGAAATCTATAATCATAGAATCATAGAATCATAGAATCAACTGGGTTGGAAGGGACCTCCGAGATCATCAAGTCCAACCCTTGATCCACTACTGCTGCAGTTGTTAGACCATGTCGCTAAGTGCCACATAACGCCATCTATGTATCTGCCAATCGATAAACTAAGTCATATCCTTTCATGCAAAGGTGCCTGTATCTGGTAACAAAGTCCAGCATTTTGCTGGATCAGAGCCTTCAAGCCCAAGTGGGAGCAGACACTGCCCCCTCCCCAAAGTCAGTCATGCCACATAACTGGTATAAATAAAAGCTACATCCAAAATCTTACCTTTTCTGTTACTTTCTCAACTCCAGTCTTCAACTCATGTACCATATTGCTGATTTGCTTAGCTTTGCTAAGGCTGTCATTAGGTAGCTCTTGATGGTGCTCAATATGCTGGTTAAAATGGGAAAGTGGTTCTTTCCAGGCTTGCAAAAGTTTCAGTATCAAGTGAGTTAGTTCTTCTCTCTTATAAATTAAAACCATAAAGGTCTGTTACTGTGCAGCAGATCATATGAATAATGTTAAACAGACTCATTGTGAAATCTCAGCAGGATTAAGATTAAGATTTATATCTGCAATTCAATACTTAAAGGCCACTCTCTCACTGGTTATTTGCTTATATATAATAACACCCAGAAGTTGTATTTGTCTAGTTTTCAGCTAACATGGGCAAGGCCTCATCTCCCTTTGCCATTGCAGGGGACCTTCTGGACATCTTTGGCAAAGCTCCTCGCTCCATCACAACCAAAACCAAAAACGTTAACATTTGTCTTTGTCTGTCTCTTCCGAGAGGCAAAAGTTTCTCCCAGTGCTGTATCCCCGACTTCACAATTTGCTTTTTCTCTGTCTGAAGAAACTCTTCTGGCTCTTCTCTAAACTAATAATGATTTTTTTCTCTTTCCATTACAACTGTCTAAACCAATTTGCTGTTCTTTTCCCCTTACCTAACTATCAGTTGAGATAATGACTGTTGTTTCTTTCTCCTGATTGCTTTTTGTACTTTGTAGTGACACTGATTAATTTAACTTCTCTGCCACATACACACAGTGTGTGTTCTAAGTTTTCATTCCACAGAGATTGCCACAACAAAATCAAAAGATGTCTGTCTCTCAGTCGTTTTGACAAACTACTACTTCAATATCCTTATTAGAACTAATATTATGATCTGAGAATAGGTAACCATATGCAGCTTTTAAAATACAACAAACTAATGATTCATATGCAATACTTCCATGATGTGCACCTCTTTGGGGTCAAAACTTAGCAGCTTCTTCCTTCCATTATTGATGAAGCTCCGGCGGCATAAAAGCCCCTCTGCCTATCTCCAGCCCGAAGGGAATCATCACAGTGTAATGAATGAGACATTTGGTTGTTCTGACGGGACGGGAGGTATTTTCCCCTTTCTTCAGAGGAGGGAAAGGAGGCAGTGTGACCCGCGGAGTCCTCTTCCAGCCCCTCAAGCCCCGTTGTATCCCCTTCCACCCTGTTCCGCCGCCGCCTTCCCCCCTTACCGGGATTTTTTGGGCATATTCTTTGCCGTTGGGGGTCAGCATCCCCGACGTGTGGCACTTCCGAGCGGGCTTTCCCAGCTCGTTCTCACGGGGAGGAAAGTGTTTTTCCTACGGGGGAAGAAAACGTAAACATATTCCGAGACCACCACCACTGCCCTCCATCCCCCCATCTCCCCCCCTATCCCGCCCCGCCGGCAGCCGCTCCCAGGGCGGCGCAGCCTCGCTCCCCGGCAGAGGGACCGGCCTGGCACTCACTAGCTCGGCGTAGAGCGTCGTAGAGAGGCTGTGGATCCTGCCCGAGTGCCGGATCACCCGGTCGAAGAGATCGGCCACGGTCAGAAGGTGGCAGCAGGAGTCCCCCGGGCCGCAGACCAGCAGCCACAGCAGCGCTAGCGCCGCGACGGCACCTGCGAAGAGCGTGGCGGCGTCGGGAAGTGCGGGCTGTCGGGGTGTGCAGCCCGCCCGCCCGGCCCCGCCGCCCTCACCTGCTCGCCCCGCCGCCCGGGCGGGGGCCATGACGCTGCGGAGCCCGCTGCCCGGCGTGGAGCGGTTGGGATCGGCCGGCGCTGGCGAATCCCCTGCATCCCCTATATATACCGGGATCTCCCGATGGTGACGGGTTCCTCCCTGACGTTCGCAGCCCGCGGTCACCGTGAGCAAGCCGCCCGGAGCGGGACTCCCGGCTCGGCGAGCGGGCGGGCGGGAGCGTCCCTCGCACCGACAGGGCAGACTCCCCCCGGCAACCCGCCGGACCGAAATCGGGCTCCCGGGCTCTGCGGTGCAGCTACTGCCGACCCTCGCAGCCGCCCGCCCGCCGCCGGTCCAGGGCTGCCGTGGATCGGTGTCACAGCCCCACCGTGGGCAGAGCAGGGGGGCGGCTCCAGCCCCACCGAAGTGGCGTGCCCAGGTCCGTACCAGCGGGCCCACGGCCGTCGGAGGGGGTAAGCGTGGGAGAAATGCGCCCAGGCAAATAAACTGGTCGTGTCCGTGGTAGCAAGGGGTTTATAAAAGGACAGCAATGGGCAAAATGAGGGGTAGGAGAGAACCCTGCTCTGATCACATCCACCTCTTAGCCAGCTTTTCTAATGACACGGTAGAAATCAGATCTGCTTTTCCTGCTTCCTTGCAGGTGATCAGAGATACCAGCACTGAAGATGTGATAGCTGATGACTGCATGCTTGGTGGTCCAAGTGTGCCTGAGAATGGCTGGTCACATATGGCTAAAGGTTCAGGGAGTAACACAGCAAAGGACTCCAATCAGGACCCCTAAAGGGGTCAGTGGACTTGGTTGCTGTCCTCTATTTCTGGGCATGAGATCCCAAGCAGCCCTACAGGACATATAAGAGAAGTTGAGATGTTGGTCATGAGGAAAATTAGTCAGCTCTGCCCTTGTTGGGGTTTTTCACTGCCGGAGGAGCAGTCTGCTGAGAAATGAGGATACATGTGACATGAAATTGTTGTCTTCCCTTCCCAGCCATTATACTAGAGTCATGTATCTGTTTTCTAGCCCCTGAATCCTGATTTCATTTATGGACCATACGTCCACCAGAATTATGAAGATTATCCCTCTCCCCCACCTTTTAAGGACAACTGGATAACTAGGACTCATTCTGGAGGTGTTAGACATGAGTTTGACTAGCTTTTAGACAAGGAGAAATGGAACTTGGTCACTTATGTGCTGCGTGGATGCTAAAAAAATTGGTAGGCAACAAGTAGAGGTAGCTACTTCTCTAGTCAAATCTTATAAGTAATTGTCATCTGCCACTGCATTTGGCATGAAGTCAAGTGGCATTTCCAAAAGATTCACATTTTGAAAGGTTGATGGCACAATGGACTATAAGATACTTTTAATCCCTCATGTTTTAGAATTTCTAAAATTAGTTTTAAAGACAGTTAATTAAGATATGCTTAATGATCTACACTATTCAGTAGAGGTTGTTCTCATTTTCTTATCTCCACAGTATCTGTAATGAATAAAACAATGCAGTTAATTTCAGGGGTTAGTGCTGTTGAGCTAGCTCTTAATGGGGACTATGGAGTCAGCCTTAGCAATAGCTCTGAGCTCTTTGGTAGCTGATAAAATACTTCTGGCTTGTGGTCCAGGTGAAAACTTGGAATATTAGTATTATTTCGGGTAACTGCCAGAAAATGAGCAATCATGCATACAGTGGAATCTGAAAAACGTCAGTAGTGTGCATATGGGAACACCTAGATCAATGGCAATTTATTAGTCAGTAGCCATTTTCTTTTGGTTTTCACAGGCCTTAGACAAATCCTGACATATGCAAATCCTACCCAGGAAAAGGTTCTTTAAAATGTTAAGAAAATTTTTGAGTTTTGAAGGAGCTGTGAACTTGCAGTGTGGAAAACGTAAATTACTTGAACAGCAAAAAATACAGTATAGCTTAGAGGAAAGAATCCACAGTAAATTAGCAAATTTTTTTAAGGTTTCAGATTCTAAAATGTTGTTTTCTTAATAAAAGATATAGCAATATTTAAAAACTGTTTTTACTGGCTCTTCACTGATATTTTAAGCTTGTAGATGTCACCGAACATGAAGAAGTCACTTGCATTTCAGAATTCAACATGATCCTGAAAACTAGTGAAGTGTCCTGAAGAAAGTAGGGTGCAGTTCAGTAAAAAAAAAAAAAATTACTATATTTAGACAGAAGCTTAGACTGCCCAAGTACAGAACAAGGGAGCAGTCAAATAGAAGGGGATCATGATTTGTACAAAATAACAAGCTGAACCTATATCAGTAGTGTCTTACTGTTGCTTTGCATTATTCATTTATTCATTTGTTTTGCAGTCTGGGTTATGTCCTCTGAAATGCTGTCTGTGAGACGTGAAAGTGTTTGACTGCCACACATTGCATTGTAAGGCCTCCACTAGAATACTGTGTTCAGTGCTGCACATCCCATTTCAAGAGAGACATGAACCAGCTGGAAAGAGCCCAGGGGTGAAAAGCAAGAATGATGACAGGTTAAAAACCCCCACGGCCTGCAAATAAAGACTGAAGCAAGTGTGTTTTTTTGTCTATCACGGAAAGACAAGGCAAGGATACAGTTTTTAGGTGTGCATAAGGTAGCAGCAAAGAGAAAGGGAATAAATTATTCACCGAATTAATGTTGGATACAAGATATAACGAGAAATTAAACTGCAAGGAGATTTAAATCAGACATTTGAAAGAACTTCTGCGTTCTAATGGTTAGGAGATGTTACGGACTGGAAGTGACTGCTAGGGACACTATGAAAGCTCCATCATTATCTAACCTATCTTATAAACTCTGTAGGAGTTTTCAGACAGTCAGCAGTGGTATTCATCCCATGGTGGGCAGAAGGGTGAGTGGGCAATATCAGACCTCTCTCCCTTCCAGCCTGCCAAAGATTTATGGTGCAAGACCAACTGGAGTTCATTATGTATTCAAAAATCACTCCTAAATTTACATCATGGAGTAAAAGCTGAAATGAAGAGATTTGTTTCAACCAGATACTGCCCACTATTGAATTGCCCTTTTCCTATAACAGAACATAACAACAGGTGCATTTTATTGTTCAAGAAGAGACATGTCACACACTTTTGCTCTAGAAGTTGATGATATGAGCTCTTGAATAAAACATGGAAATTAGGTAATCTGGATCTTAAAAAGGAAATGAAAAAAGAGTTGACTACCCACTTAAAGGAGTCAACCACTTCCTGAAGGCTGGGTCTCAGTTCTGTGTTTTTTCTGAGTTCTATATACAAAACCGCTTCATGTAGAAGTGTATTGCTCTTCTCAGTTCTAACTTCTCAGCTTTTCTCTCTCTTCTCTCAATTTTTGTCCAATTTGTCCAATTTGTGTCTTCCACCCTGCATTCATATGATAATCAATAAACTTATATCTTTATATCTTTTTTCTTCTCCTCCCTCTCACTCTTCAAAATATAAGCATTCTTTGGTCCCTTCATCTTAGAACAGTAGTCCTTGACTCCATTTGTCACTCTGGGCAAAATCCTTCACAACTCTGCATCTCATTTAGTAACTTTTCACTTCCTGAGAAGTTGTTTACATTCATCAAACGAATTTTTTTTCTCCTTTTAATGCTCTTTTAGTCACATTTCTCTGTTTCAATCTTCACTAAATCTGCTTTTGTTTATATCTATGATGACTTTTTATAATCAAAGCTCCTCATTGGCATCTCCTACAAAGCCTCCTGCTTTCCTTGTCCTCTCTTGGCTTCTACAACCATACCATTTACTGTTTCCCCTGATGTTTCTCTAATTCCTTACACAGAGAACACTCCATGTCTCTTCTCCAGGTTTATGTGAAGACTTTACAGGAGTTTGTCTCACATTTTACAATCTCATCAGTGAAAGCAAAAATTCAGCTACTGCTTCTTACTGTCACTTGGCGGACTGCCTTCCGGCTCCAAATTGGTCTCCTTATGTCCAAATATCTCACACTGCCTCTTCAGCATGCGTTTTTAGGTGCATCTTGTCTTTCAGCTCAAATATGAAAGAGCTAAAGGAGATCACAGCTATTCTTTTCATATATATATATTTATTTTTCTCCTTAAAAAATATTTTTTTCTAATTCTCTGTGTACCTCAGAGAGCTTGAACTGAAGATATGCATGTGTTTGGCATGTACACTGCCGAGTGCTTGCCTCAGATCCATGGCATTCCTGAAAAGGAGTTTGGTTGATGATAGGCCTCTGCTGGAGTTGGTAGCTGGAGCTGCTTTCTGCATTCATCATGTTAATTTGGCAAAGGTGGTTCAACAGAATAAAATGTATTATCCTTAGCTCTCCTTCTTTGGTCCCGCTTTGTTCTCCCCTGCATTCTCTTGCTTATGTCTTTACTCTGACCTAGGGAATACCATCCATAAAAGATAAAAGATCATTTCCAGCATTCTGGGAAACTAGGCATTGAAATAAGAATATGCCCTGAGGAGGCCTGGGCCTTTATGGGACTAATTTCTCAAGGGAAGGATCTTGTCATCCTTCATTTGCAAAATACTAAAGAAAAATGGGTGTTCAGGGCATGCAATTCTCTTCCAGTCATTCAGGATATGATTTCTCTCCCCTAATTTTAGTCATCCAGAGTTTAGAAATGGGTACTTTCTGAGGTTCATCTGGAGATAGTTGCCCGTCACTAATCTCTAATGGTGCCTGGTTTTACCTGTTGGTTGTCAGAGGAGTTTAGGGTGATGAGTATAGACTGAATTAGGGCAGAGGAATCTCATTTTCTGTTTGCAAATGTAGTCTGGGAGCTGATGGAGCATGTGCTTGACACTTCAAACAGAGCAGGTGTGTTGCTTCTCTTGCTATTCCTCTGCTGAACAGCCTATTACAGATGTTGCATGTTTGCCTCCTTTGGGGCTACAGAGATGTCAGGAAAACATCCTCCTTTCTATTTGTGACTGTGATTGTAGCACACAAGTGAGAAACATGCTTTTGAAAAGTCTGCTGTATTCCAGCCTCTGGAGAAGACTAATTCCTTAGCTGATCTGCTGACTACTCCTCAGAATGAACATTT